GGTCGACTGATACTCATTGGAGCTGCCGAAAGGGCTCTCGAAGGAGGGGGACTTGGAGGCCTCCGACAGTCCTCTCCGTTGTTGGCAGGAGGTGACGGCAGCGCGGGTGGTGGGCAACTGCTGGCGGGCGCAAGCGCGCAACAGAGTGCTCGAGGCGGAGGAAAGCGACATGGTGAGACTAGCAATTGCAACGAATTGCGGGGAGGAGAGTTGAGGGGAGAACAGAGCGATTGAATAATAGGACGGTAAGAATTCGATGAGGTTGGAAGTTCGGAGGCTACGGCATACGGGAAAAGTCGCTAATCACGGGGCGCCTCATTGGCTCCTTGGGGCCCACGACAATGCCGGCCGCCAAACGTTCTTCTCGCAGTTGCCAACTTTCTACTCAAGCGTGTTGTTCTTCCCGACTCCATTCTATTATAATTAAATTGGTCTACTCAAGATGATTTCATCATAATTCTCATATATTCTCGCTACGCTAACTGAGCCATAATATGATTCACACGTCAAAAAGCAACTGACCAACAGGATTTTGCCGTCCATCCGTTTCCGTTCCGTACATAACCAAACCCAACCATGCGACTCTCGATAATAATACCCAACCCCAATGAAACAAACACGTCTACCGAGTAGCTCAAATTATATAATGCCTTGCGCCTGGTTCGATCACTGGTCTACCATTTCCACGTCATGGTCGTTCTCTCTTGGTTGCGCCTCGACCGTGCGGTCAACCATCAACGTACTAAGAGAAGGAGCTCGAGGGCTTATAGAAGGCTTATCAGCTTTCTGGTGACCACCCTCGCCATTTTCTTTAATCATCGATGGTATTGTTCCGTTCAATGTGCGCTGTCCCTTCTCGAACGCGGCGTCTTTGCTAGCTTCTTTGGCTTTCTTCTCCTTGAATTGTTTATAGGTAGTTGTTTTGGGTATCACGTCGGCAAGAAACTCCAGATTATCGATTCGTGAAACGGCGGTAGCTGTGTCAGATTCATCAGTGATCTGCTCGTTTCTTCAATGCTATGATTCGCGACGGACCTAGATCCTTGTATTGAATAACCTTTCGCGGTTTTCGTTCAGATTTAACGACGTTATGCCCTTGTTGCGCGAGGTATTGGATGAACAGTTCCTGAAATAAATAGGAGGATAGAATTAGCGAAATTTGTCCAACACGAGGCTCAGAATCTAGAAGGCCAAAAGGGAGGCAAACTGTAGCTTTTGCGACGACGAACGTAGCATTGCCCGAGCATTGTACGATGTCCTCATCGAGATGAATTATTTTCTTTATTCGGGTGACTGTGATATGTAAGTCCACTGAGTGAATTCAACATAGCTCTGGTTTCACACGCACTAGGTAGAGCGCTCTGGCCGGTTATCTCATCTCTGGATGTTTGTGCTGGTGCTGGTGCAGGCTTGTCTTTCGGAGACATAGCGGACTCGACTTGGGAGCTGCTTGGGATTTGCTCGTATATTGCCGATGTTTCAAAGCTGGTCTGAGATCAAAGGTAGTTGAGTTGTACGGGTTTGAAAAGACTCGTTAAGCACTATTGTCTGGATCGAAGATGAATATGGTGCGGTTTGGATGGTCAAGAAATTACTGCTACACCGCGTGCGGGTAGAAATCAAGAGCGCGCGGCGTGTGTAGATGTTCTCCGCAATTGATGTGGATAGAATATGCTTGCGTGCGCTTGATTACAGAACAGGGTCAAATCAAGCACAGTGACCTCTGTATATTACTGCTAATCAGCCAAGTCACTGAAAAAGGAAACAAAATACATTATATTACGAGTCCTTGTGCTACACCTCGATCGACAACGGAAACCCATCGTCATCTATCCTTATCACCAATTTGAAAGCGGGAAGCTTCCTCACGTGGGCGGGCGGCACATCTGCCATTGAACATTGTCGCTGCAATATAACAGCTCCCGAGCATCACGCCCACCTCGACTATGCTCTTACTACAAAAGAAAACCGTGGTATGAGCTCGATGCCTGCCTCGTCAACCGCTCCCCGCTCACCCTCAGTCCTGTCTGAGCGTCGGAGTTGGAGATTATCAGGCTTATCTGTCAGCTCGCCTGTCGATCCTAGCCCGCCCGATGACAATGGCCAGCCGAACGCGATCACGGATGAGATCAGGAAAATAAAGCGATATGAGGATTTTACAACGATTGATTGGGTCCAAGATGCTATTCAGGAACAAGCGCGACGGAGGGCGAAGCGACGAGATGGGTCTGGGTTCTGGGATCAGGAAGGCACCTTTGGTTGGAGGCGCAAAGTGAGCGAGTCTTATGACGCTGGCCAAGCTTGGCTCGTCATTACAATCGTTGGCGCCGCTATCGGATTGATCTCAGCTGTATTGAACATCATCACTGAGTGGCTGTCGGATGTCAAGTTGGGTCGTTGTACGACTGCATTCTACCTCAATGAGCAGTTCTGCTGCTGGGGTGCTGAAGGAGGTATGACATATCGCATGTGTTCCGCTCATGGTGAAGCTAACGCGTCTCTTTATCAGGCTGCCCCGAATGGAAGCCATGGACTTCCTTTTGGCTTATCAACTACTTTGTATACTTCTTCTTCGCGGTATATTTGAACCTTGACTGCCCTTCCAGATCAATCGCTGAGAAAGCATAGACTTTGTTCGCATTTATCGCCGCAACTCTGGTTAAAGTATTCTCTCCTTACGCCGCAGGGTCCGGTATATCGGAAATAAAATGCATCATTGCTGGCTTCGTGATGAAAGGCTTCTTAGGCGGCTGGACACTATTGATCAAGTCCATCGCGCTTCCATTGGCCATCGCATCTGGCCTTTCAGTGGGAAAAGAAGGACCCAGTGTGCACTTCGCCGTCTGTACAGGGAATGTTATCTCGCGCCTTTTCAGCAAATATAAGCAGAACGCGTCAAAAACGAGAGAAGTCCTGACGGCAACGGCTGCTGCTGGTGTGGCAGTGGCATTTGGCAGTCCGATTGGTGGGGTACTATTCTCTCTAGAGGTTCGTGATTTTGAAGCTCGTGTGTCATAGAGTTATGCTGATAACCCTGCTGCAGGAAATGGCGTCTTACTTTCCACTCAAGACTCTTTGGCGAAGTTATTTTTGCGCTCTGGTCGCAACTGGTGTGTTGGCGGTATGGACGTTAGGTTCTGTCTCTGTCTGCTCTTCAGCCGCTGATCCGGACTGCAGATGATGAATCCCTTTAGAACCGGACAACTCGTCATGTTTCAGGTGCAGTATGATCGCACGTGGCATTTTTTCGAACTAATATTCTTCGTACTTCTCGGGATATTCGGTGGTCTGTACGGCGCCTTTGTGATCAAGTGGAATCTGCGAGTTCAGGCGTTCAGAAAGAAATACCTTTCGCAGTACCCCATCGTCGAATCAGTTGTCTTAGCGGGCTTGACCGCGTTCATTTGCTATCCGAACATGTTCTTGAAGATCAACATGACCGAAATGATGGAGATTTTGTTCCGTGAATGCGAAGGAGGGCACGATTATCACGGACTTTGCGAGTAAGTCGTCTAGCTGACAACTAACGAAGATAACTGCTAATGATTCTAGGTCTAAGAATCGATGGACTACGGTCGCATCCCTAGTGATTGCTACCATTTTACGAGTTCTTTTGGTCATCATATCTTACGGTTGCAAAGTCCCGGCCGGCATTTTCGTCCCGTCAATGGCCATTGGAGCGTCCTTTGGTCGCTTGGTAGGGATTCTTGTCCAGGCCTTGCACGAAGCTTTCCCTAGCTCCGCTTTCTTTGCCTCTTGTAAACCAGATGTTCCATGCATCACTCCGGGGACATATGCGTTCTTGGGCGCTGGGGCCGCTCTGAGTGGGATTATGCACCTCACAATATCTGTAGTGGTTATCATGTTTGAACTTACCGGGGCCCTTACTTACATTCTACCCACCATGGTGAGCCAATCACGCTCTGGTGCATTTGTCAAAGAAACTAACATCGGTAGATTGTGGTGGGTGTCACCAAAGCCGTTAGTGAGCGCTTTGGCAGCGGAGGAATTGCAGACCGAATGATCTGGTCCAATGGCTTCCCGTTCCTAGACAATAAAGAGGAGCATGTCTTCAATGTGCCTGTCTCCCAGGCCATGACGCCTGATCCTGCCTCGCTTCCTGCAGCAGACTTCCCTGTGCGTGAAGCCGAACATCTTCTGAATGACAACAAATTTCAGGGGTTCCCCGTCGTTGAGGATCGTTCAAGTAAGATTCTGGTCGGGTACATCGGCCGAACTGAACTCCGATACGCGATTGATCGGGCAAAGTCGGAGGGTATGTTGGCTCCTAATGCTCGCTGTGTATTCACCAAAGAAGCCGCCGAAGCCGCAGTGGCGCGCAGGGCATCTGTCTCGAGAAATCACTTAGTGCCCGATACCTTTGATGCAATTCAGACTAGTTTAGGGGCGCCTTTCGTGGATTTCAGCCGGTACGTTGACCACACACCGTTAACTGTGCATCCCCGCCTGGCCCTTGAGACTGTCATGGAGATCTTCAAGAAGATGGGACCTCGAGTGATCCTGGTTGAGCATCGTGGTCGGGTGACGGGACTTGTCACTGTCAAGGATTGCCTGAAATATCAGTTCAAGGTCGAGGCTGAGGAGCAAGCTCTCGCATCAACCCATACTGCGGCGGACCTTCCTCTTGGAGCTCATCTTAATGGGCGCCAGAGCGATAGTCTGGAAGAAAATGTATGGCGCTTCCTGCAACGTGTGGGCTCGATGTTGCCACGCTGGTCACGCCTTAACCGCGACCACGGGCCAGTGACTTTAGACCACCGGGAGCCAAGCAGGGACCTGAGCGGAACTGAAGATGAAGATGCTTTTGTGGAATTGACGGAGAGACATTGACGTATATGATACCTTTCGATGTAATATATCACCTCAAATAGACTATAGGATCAGGCATTCTAAGGGATATCTCCATTATACTTTGCACTCAAGTTCTTTCCTTGCAATCCAGTCCAATGCTCAGACCTGTTCGCTTAGATGCATAAGGCTTATGAATCTCTCATCCCAACCAGAATACACCCACCACCCATCATCCCAGCCCCCAACCACCACAGCCCACTCACCTTCTCCCGGAAGACAACCATACCCAGCAACGCAGTGATGAGAAAGTTTGCCGACGTGTTAGTGATGGAGACCTTTGTGGTGGAGGGCGCCGCGGTCAACGCTCTCGTAAAGAGCGCCCACATGATGATGTTACACAGAACATTGAGTCCCAAACAAACCTTTACAAAGTCAAACAAATTCTTCAAAACGAAGGAAAGGTAGGGAGACATACACCTCGAACCAACAGTTCAAGGAACGCATTTTGATCCCCTGCGCCGAATAGATGCAAGATACTCCTGGCGAACGCGGTGGTTTGCTCATCGGTTGTTCTGATTGACGTTAGCGAATGATCTGCTTTCAGAAATGCGAGCTGCCCCTAGGTGGACTTGTAGACATACAGCTTAGCGAAAAGGCCATTGAGGGCTGCGAATGCGCCGCTGGCTAATGCCAGGATGATCCAGCGCGACTGAACGGGCGACTGTGTCATGATTCTGGCTACTTATTCGTAACGGGAGAAATTGGAAGTTAACTTCCAGACGTGCTTTGATTTTATTTTAACTGATGTACAGTTGCGTTTCCTGGTAGAGATGGAAAGTAAATGTTGACGTTTGATGGCCGTGAATGCGTACACTCACGTGATAGGGGGGAGTAACTGAACCTTTCAGCGTCTACTCCAATAGGTGTGGGATCAGGGAGAGAGCTACATGGTAGGTAGAAATATTTGAATCGTCTCTGATATGATCCTAACCAGACGCAGGCCTAATGAGAAGCAACTTGTGAGAAATCAAGCCTTAAGGCTCACAGACATACGGCTCTATGGAGACTCGCGTTCCTGCTATCCACTACTGATATTGAATGCTCATGGCTCTTTTTTAAGCGATTGACCTGCTTATGAGACTAGATAAAATTTGTCCAAGATAATCCTGATGCTATATATGCATACAACGAAAGGGAACTACCCAAGTGCTAGGTCTTTGGCGGCCATCTACAGCCCGAGTCTGGAGCTCTATCGATGTTGGAGGGCTATACGGAGTACAATGACGGATGAAAGCCAGCAAAATCGGAGCATTCCGAGCATTCCGAGGGGAAGAACAGATGGCAGGTCGATCGAACTCCTTGACCTGCGGATTCCGTCAGCATGCAGTCGTCAAGGCTCCTTCATCCGTCCATCTCGCTTTCTGATTCGGGGATATGGCTGGTGCAATGATGGACCAAGGCCATTGTTGTTTGAAGGCTGTCAGCCATGGAATTCATTCTGACCAATCATGATGTTGGATTGCTGGTTGACCGCCTTGTTGCATGTATGTGATTACTCCGAGCGGGAAAACACCCGGCCCGGTGATGGTGGGGATTTTTGTATTTATCCATGGGTATACGGACTGACTCACCTAAGCAGAGTGCACTATATAGGGACCGCGGTTTCCGTCGTCAATTTTTGAAGGCATATTCTTCCTGGACCATGGCAGAAATGAACGCGGCCGAAAGGTTCGCCCTCATTAAAGAGAACCTTCAAGAGATTCTCAACCCGGATATCATTGAGGGCATCCTCGCCGAGGGGCGCAACCCAAAGGTCTACTGGGGTACTACGCAGCCTTTTTCATGTGACAACTGCGCAATTGCTGACATCTTCTTTTTCAATTGACAGGAACGAGTCCCACTGGCAAACCTCACTGCGGATACTTTGGTACGACGTCGTTGCAATGCAATCGAAATCCCACCGCTAACCCCGCATTTAGTGCCCGCCGTCAAAATCGCACAGCTTCTGGCTGCCGGTTGCGATGTGACAATTCTGATTGCTGATATCCATGGTTTCCTCGATAACCTGAAGGCGCCGATTGAGCTTGTCGAATACCGGGCGAAATACTATGAGTACACAATTAGAGCGATGCTCCAGGCCGTGGGCGTCTCGACGGAGAAATTGCGCTTCGTCCTCGGCAGCTCCTACCAGAAGAGCCCCGAATATGTGATGGATGTGTACAAGCTGTGCTCTCTGGTGTCGGAGCACGACGCGAAGAAGGCTGGTGCCGAAGTCGTCAAGCAATCCAACAACAGCCCTCTTAGCGGTCTTCTCTACCCTATCCTCCAGGTGCTGGATGAGCAGCACCTCGATTGCGATGTTCAGTTTGGAGGTGCGCTTCCTCGGTTATCACAATCTGCACAAATGCTAATTTGAGCAGGAGTTGACCAGCGCAAATTGTTCGCGGCATCAACCGAATGGCAGCCCAAGCTGGGTTACAGAAAGGTCAGCACAGCATTGTCGTATGGCTCACGTTCTATGCTCACATACTTCTAGCGCGCACATCTGCTGAACCCCATGGTTCCTGGACTTACCGGTGGTAAGATGAGCTCGAGTGAAGAAGGTACTGTTGATTTTCCATACCTTTACGAGCAGCTTACTGATTTTGTAGAGAGCAAGATTGATCTCCTCGAGGCCGCGGATACTGTCAGAAAGAAGATCCGCAAGGCCCAGGCTGCTCCCAAGGAGATTGAAAACAACGGTGTTCTGTCATTTGCAGAATTCGTTCTGCTTCCTGCTTCCGCCCTGAAGACTGGCCGCCCAGAATTCCGCGTCAGCCGTGAGAGAGACGGCCTGGAGCCTCTCGTCTACACCGACATCAAGCAGATGCAGGAGGATTACAAGAACGATATTGTATGTACAGGAAGAAACCTGCAGCGTAAAGGTCATCTGACCCGGCACTGACTTCTTTACAGTTGTCACCCCAATTGCTCAAGCCCGCCGTGGCGGAGGCTCTCGTTGAGCTTATGGCCCCTATCATCACAGCTTTCGAGGAATCGAAAGAATGGCAGGAGGTTACATTGAAGGCATACCCCCCTCTAGAAAAGAAGAAGAAGGAAAAGAAGCAAAAGGATAAGGGAAACCGCTACCCTGGGGCCAAGACTGCTGAGACAGCCGAGCTCCCGCTCCGGGAAACCGGAGTTCAGGAACCTACAGTGAATTAAATTCAATAGAGTTAGATACCTTGAATGACATGATGCACGTTTCTACTAACTACTGCTCGAATCCATGGATTTTCACCACCTTTCAGATTGAGATCTGCACTCATTCAAGTGGTCAGTATGACCCTACATCAATACTTGCAGGAGGAATATACCCTCCTTATCTGATATACCAAAGAGCCCAGTATTTGGATTGACATTATCATGATATCGAGCTGTGAGCAACGTTGTTCAACTTCTTGCTCTACGCGCTGCCTAGGTGAATTGGGAGTGACAACGCCCTTGCCTTTCTCAAGCTGTATGCTTCGTGACGGGGCCTAAAGTGGTTGAAGTGAATGATACGAAAGGATTGATTAGTGATAATAGGAAGCTACCCATTAACCCTTTAGTCTAATCATTGTCGACTGAAGCTGAAAGGATCTATGCCTGGTATTGATTGATAAAGTCCTAAGAATAGGTGGTACTCACTTAGTCTTGATATCAACGGTCTATTGTAACGTCTATGGGGAAAGTCGTTGAATCTGCCATTGGAACGACGAATCATCGTCTGATTCCTTCACTCTCACATATCGGAAGCGATCATGCAACCGACTGCGTCGGCCTTGCCAAAACTCCACTGACTCGGGTACCAGTCGCACACCACCCCAGAACGGTGGAAGGGGGATCTTCTCTACTCCCGCAAACCGCGTCTCCATCTCCTGCACCCGCTGCTCAAGCAGGGCCCTCCCGTCATCAATGTCCGTCTCGTCAATGTCGGCCGGGATCTGAGGACATCCAGACATGGGCGTCGAGCCCTGAACGTGCGCCGCGGCCGCAACGCTTTTCCGCCGCCGATCAAGCAGTATCTCGGGCTCCGCCGACCAGAGCACCTTACTCTGCCAGCTCGCCCACGCACCGATCTGACTGCCCCGTTCTCGAGTATCCCAATACAACTCGCTCTCTTCGCGGCTGAGTGGCTCCACCATCCCCTCGATACGCACTTGGCGCTCCAGCGCTGACCAGCAGAAGGACAATGCAGCCCACCGATTGCCCCCCTGCACATCTTGGAGAAGACTCTCGTCCTCGCCGGGCCGGGGCATCGCACCAGGGAAATCTCCGCCATCCGCATTCACACCAAACACCTGCCCGCCCTTGCCCTCTCGGCTGCCCCAGTTACTGTACACCACCCAGCCCCTCTCGTCCAGTTCCTTGAGGTAGACAACGCGCGCGCTGACCCGCCCAGAAGGCAGCGATGCGGTGGCCAATGTACACGTTTCCGGGGCCGAGGACGGCGACAGTCGCGGGTCGCGGAACCAGGTGTGGAATTGATGGAGCGGGTTGGACGGATGCATCTGGGAGACTGTCAGGGGCGGGTTGCTCACGAACTGGTGGGCACGGGCCGGGTGGGCGACGATCTGGCTCTCAATCGTGGAGTCCGGGGTCGACACATCTGAGCGAAGTTGCTCGGCGATCTGCTCGGGGACATTGGGGGCGGGTGAGGAGGGATCTTTGGTCTCGGTGGCTGAGACTTTGAGGTCGGGAGTTGCTTGGATGTCGCCGGGCGCGACTAGGGCGGGTGTTAGGAATAGATCATTTCATTTTTTGGAGGATGAGAGGTCGGAAAACGTACAGATCAGCTTCTTCGGCCGTCGGGAGCTCATTGCGTGCTCGTCGGCTGTTGGATTCCCCGAACTCATCCTGCGAAAATACCGTGTTTGGTCGTGTTTACAACGGCTCGTTGCCAGACGAATGTGACGAAGAGGGCACTGAGTGCGTAAGCATACGCGACCAGTAAGCATAGACTGTGTAGCTGCGTGATATTAGCGAAGGGTGATGGGCTCTGAAGAGTAGAAGTGGGGGAGTTTTGGGAGTCATCAGCAATCGTGCGGAGTTCGACAACGGGAATCCGCAGCCGGAATTTATTGGCCTTTGAGTACTCAACAACGCGCAATGATACGAGGAGCACCTTTTTCCCGAGTCGCCTGATCAATGTCGACTGATCGATCAATCGCGATCCGATCATTGACCAAAGATTTTCGAAGTGCATTCAGCCAGGAGGGATTCGATTCGTATAGATCGCCAGCTCCATGATGTCACTCCGAGATCGGGAAATGCGAGGTATCTACAATCTGTATGCTGCAGTTTTGATTCATATAATATTTGAATTTTGACCTGATTGTTTCTTCAACAGCAGGAATCCTTAGGATAAGGAGTAGAGAGTGGTCTATCAAGACAAAGGAAATATGGAAAAAGAAGAAAATGATCACAACCAATATGGTATGGTATACACGCAACATAATGAATCCCAGTTTTAACCAACGCCTTCCCACTCGCTGAATGCATAACAGTGTAAATGAATCCTGAAACAAAGTAATCAAGCATCCGAAAAATGGATGCTGCCTTCCCGAATGCCTGTGCAACGGCCATCGGGCTGGAGATCACCAAAGACAGGGAATCCAGCCCTGGCAACTTAGGTGGGATACATTAGAACAAGTACTTTTGATTTTGTCAGTTTGACATAGGTTTCAAACTGGTTGAACCGAAGAGGAGAAGGCAGCATAATCGGATGGAGACCCTGTTTTAGATGGCAGCAACCGGTGCACCACCTCCAACCAGGTCAAGAATCTTGCTGGCCACAGCAGTAGGGTAGCCACGAGACAGCATCTCCTGGACAACACGAGAAGCTCCCTCGCGGTCTTCAGATGCCAAAAATGCACGAGTCATTGCCTCATAGGTGCTGGGCTCCCGTTTGTTGATGCCAACGCTGTCATAGACCGCCTTGGCCTTGGCGACGTTACCTTCAGCGGCCCACCCGTGAATAAGAGTGTTAGCAATGTAGGCAGTCATCTCCACACGGCGATTGGCCATATCCCTGACTATGGCTTCGGTTCGGGCAACCTGATGATTGGCCACCATGGCCTCCAGCAGAGCCTGGTAGAGGCAAGGCTGTAGGCGCACCTTGCGGTTCGATACAACAGACTGGAAAACATCCAAGGCAGCATCAAGGTCGTGCATCACACATCCCTTGGCGTGGATAAGGGATGCATAGTGTACGGCTTCGGGCTGTTGTCCGGAGGCCTTGATAGTCTCCAACACCTTCTCAGCAGCAGGCATGTCCACGGGCTCCAGGGACGCATATGCGTCAATGAGCAGTTTGTACGTGTGCATGGTGGGCTGGATGTTGCGACTTTGCATGCGCTGGTAGTAGGCCAGCACCTTGCTGCGGTCGCGTTTGGTATTGAGGAAGTACTGGATCATAGAGTTGTAAGGAGCGGGTCGCGGCTTGTAGTTGGGCATCGACTCCATCTCCTCAAACATCTCTTCGGCAAAACGCTCATCACTGACGCGGCAGAGAGCATTGACGATCGTTCCGTACGTGACACTGGTTGGGCGGATGCCGTTGGCACGCATCTCGGCAAAATACAGAAGGCAGTCGTCAATCCGGCGTGCCTTCCCGAGTTTGCCAATAAGCGCATTATACAGAAATGACGTCGGCTCAACCCCTTCGGCAACAGCACGATGGAAGATCTTCAGAGCCTCGGTTGCTTCATCAAAAGTCTTGGTGGATTCCTTGAGGGTAGTGATGTAGAGGCCAAAAGTATTCGCCGATGGTGCCGAACCGAGCTCCAGGAGCTCGTTGTGGTACTTGGCAGCGAGGCTGCGGTCTCCTAGAGTCAAACAGGAGGCAACCATGGCATCGAGGATGGAAATCCAGCCATACTTCACAGCATGGTACTGAGGCAGCAGAGGAACATCACGACGGGCCATGCTCAGAATCTCCTGCACTAGGTCGGCACGGCCGGCCTTCGTAGCCGCATTAATGAGCTTGGCATAGGTGATATAGCGAGGATGGCGACCAATGCGACGCATGTTGCGAAGCCGAGACAGAGCCTCATTCAGATGCGACTCTGCGCGACCGCTGGTACTCTCCAACTCCTCGGCAATAATGGAAGATCCACGGAAGTCGGTAGCATATGCATACGGATCGAAAGAGTCATCGCTAGACACGGGCGTCATAGACGAAACTTCCGAAACAGGAGAGTGACGGCCGGAAAGGAAAGGCGATGGGGAGGACGCCATGCTAAGATGGTCCTGCCACCTCTTCACCATATCAGGCCGACTGTTAAACAGCTTGGCGACGGCTTGATCGACCAAGCCAGTAGTTTGAGCGTCCAATGGGAGTCTCGTGGCCAGAGCAATGTCAAGCATGTGGGCAAAGCGGATGGGATGAGCGACATCAAAAGCCATGGAGCTATTGCTGAGAAGCATACCAGCTTGGACCTGGAGGGCGAACGCCAGGTCGGGAGCAGCGAGCTGAGAGATACCCATAGGTCCAAGGTTGGCAACAGCATGTTCAGCAAAGGGAGAGATGAGACCACCATTCTCAGTCATGGACCAAATGAGGTTCATGGTAGCCTGAGGGGAGAGAACAGCAGCAGTCTGCATGAGGACACGGCCGATAAGGTGAAGGCTTTCATTAATTTGTTCGCGGATGGAATCCAGCACGACAGTGTTGTTGGCAGAGGAGTTGCGAATCCGTGCGAACATATTGCGGGCTTCAAGAAGGGCTTCGTCGACCTGACCACTCTTTACCAAGGCAACCGTGTACATAATCGTCGGCTGAACCATATCCGAAGTTGCCTGACCCACGGTGCTTAGCATCAGCCACAGGGGTCGAGCATCTGACACGTTGCCTTGCCGCACATGCAACGCCAGCATCGCAATAGCGGGGCCCTGACGTACAGTCGCGTCTGACGGGAGACATCCGTACGCTTCGGAAGCGGTCTTGAGATCACCAGCGTCTGCTGCGGTGACGCAAATGCGGGCCATGGCATGATCCAAAGCACCACCGCGCAGCTGCTCCTTGGCGTGCTCCAATGCCTTTGCATGTTCACCTGACTTGAGACAGTACTGCACAAGGCCATCCTGAACAATTACAGACTCAACGGCCTCCTGGCGAGCTTCACGGTTTTCAGCAACTTCATCAAAAGAAGCACGGATGCGCTCAAGGAATCGCAAGGCATTTTCTTCCTTTCCGGCTGAAAGATAAGCCCTGACCACAGCAGCGTACACTTGACCGTCTAAACGCTGGACAATGCTGAACGTGCCATTATCGTCAGAAATTGCGAGATCCTTGTATTCGTTGTAGCACTCAACAGCACTTGTCAGATCACCGGTAGATGCAAAAGCATCAATCATTGATGGAAAGATAGACGCATGCGGCGTCACCTTATGCGACTCCATGTGAGCATAGATACGGATCATATCCTCAACCTGGCCTTCTTTCGCACATGCTGTGATAAGATAGCGATACATATCGAGAGAGAAGACAAGATCTGCGTGACGAGTAGTTGCGGTGTTGAACAATTTGACAGCAATTGCGAGAGAATGGTCCTCAGCGAGCAAATCGCGCTCCAACTGACTAGAGTGCAGCATAAACTTGCCAGGCTCTTCCATGCCTCCATAGCGAAGGCGCTCCTGCTCCAATGACTCCTTGGCCTTGATCGTCTGATGAGAGCGGGTAACGAAAAGCTCGACCAGTGTGCGATAGGTGTCTTCATCGGGAATTACCCTGCGACGAAGCATGTCTGAGTAGACATCGAGTGCTTTGGGGATGGCATGTGAAATGTCGGTGTGAAGACGGACGGCAGATTCCAACAACGCATTGTAAGCACCAACGGTCGGAGTGAGGCCATCTCTTAGAAGCAACTCGAAGGCAGCAGGGATCTCAGCATACTTTTTGCCCGAGGCTAATTGGACAATCTGGTCGGAAACAATTCGAGACTGCTCAGCGGTCGCATCTGAGACGGCAGCGACCTCCGGCGGTAAATCAGGGAATGCCTCAGTACCCTCATCCTTTGCTTCCGACGCCTCCTCAGCCTGTGCCTGTTCTTCCTGGATCTGAATCTCTCGTGCGACGGCCTCCTCGACTTGAGCGCTTATTTCGGCATTGGCGGAGGCCTTGGTGACGCGTGGTGAATCGTCCAGACCGGGGTGAGAGTCCGTAGCCTTCTCCTCCACCTTCACCTTTGCTGGTTCTTCGTCCCCCGTTGGCTTCCAGCCAATTCGCCTCTTGAATTGGAACTGTTTCCAGTCACTGTCATCGCCAGTCTGCTGAGCGTGCTGCCACGCCGCATAGTATGCCGCTAACCCAAAGTCTCCGGACCCTGAACCACCCTGGCTGGCCTTAGCACCAGCACCCGACGAGCTTGATGGCTGGAAGACATTCTGCAATTGACTCGTCCGAGTGAATTTGGCGTGTTGACTGGCAAGTTGATTGAAAGTTGTCGACGACGCGTACGAAGACTGCGACGCCGCAACTACCGACTGAGCATAGCCATGGGTGAAGGCTTTGGTGAAACTCTGACGCGCGAGGTGAGTGAACGGCTTGAACACCATTTATCTTGCGGGAGACCTCTTCAAAGGGAAGAGGTGATGCTGTATAGTGATTAGTCACGTCTATTATTTTTTCCCGCCAGGTACCGAATCGAATCGAGCATACCTTGCAATCAAAATAGTAGAAATGATGCAGGTTCATTTGACGACTTGAGGTCGCCAAAAGAACGCGCGTAAGAAAGGTGAGGGGGACCTCAAATGGCGAGGAGAGGTAATAGTCGATTTATGGTGAAAATGTGAGAATCTGATCCCCAGAGGAAATGAAACAATATTTGAGAAAAGACGAAAATGATCTGTATCA